TGGGGTTGGGGTGGGCTTTTTTTTTTTTTTTTTTTTGCCTGCGATGGCAGGGAATTTAAACCTCCTATCCCCCAGTTATGCAGTTATGTCCTTCCCTCCCCTAGGTGTGGGGGGTACTGCCCTGAGGCTTTTGAGGCTCTGCAGCACTTGCTAATTGAGGTGCAGGCTTGGCTAGGTTTGCAATACCAGATGGAGATTTTTATATAATTTTTTTTTCCCTCTTGTAAATTAACCGAGGAGGCTTTCAACAAGGGCTAGCTACGACCTCCTGCTCTTTAAAAGTTAATGTGAAGTCTGTGCCATGCAGCAATGCCCGTGTGACGAAGAGCACAGCGCTTACTTGGAGCAGTTTTCAAGCGGCAGGATGAAATCCCTTCCTTCCCCTTGCAAACCTCGCAGGGGGAGGAGGGTGAGTTCCCCAGCAGGAGCAGCATGCTCGGGTCCAGGTTTTGTCTGGCTTCTGCCGCTTCACAGGACCCAAGAATGCTGGAGCAGATCAGCAAGAGGCCCCTGAGGGATCCTCTGGCAGCGGGATGAGGGGAGCGGGGATGTGGCAGAGCTGCTCCGCTTCCCCTCATACAACCCCTTCCCTTCCCGCAGTACTACTGCTGCAAGAAAAATGACTCCGATGAGGAGGAGGAGGAGGAGGAGGAGGAGGAAGAGGAAGAGCCCGACCTTCCCACGCACTCCCACCTCGTCATGTGCAACGCCTGCAGCTCCCGCATGGTGGACGGGCAGGGCAGCCCCGCGCCGCCCAGCGAGCTCAGCCAGCACGGGCCTCACACCTTCTGCCCGACCTGCTCCCCGTACGGCTCCCCCTTTTACATCCGGACTGCCGACATGGTGCGCAACGGGGGCGAGAGGGTCGCCTACACCCCCGCGTGCTGCAAGGAGATGGGGCCGCCCCTCAACATGGCCGCCCTGCAAAGCTACGCGGTGAGCCGGCACGGCCTGCTCCGCGACAGCTTCCCGAACCCGCGGGCCATCAGCACGGAGGTGTAGTCACCATTGCCGCTAGCACAGGGTGTCCCCAGCCGGCGCCCGCTCCAGGGAAGGGGCTTTTCGCTTGTTTTTGAGGAGAGGAGCCCGTAGCCCAGCCCGAGGCTAGCAGGGTCCTGCTGAGCACGGCACGGCCAAGCCTCGCGGGCCAGAAGGCGAGAGAGACCTCAAAGGGCAACGTTGAACCGGCCACCTCCGAACCCATCATAAGTGTCATTATTATCTACTCTCTCTCCCAAAGGGACTTGTCTAACGAGGGCTATGTACAGTAAAACCTAATTTAATGACCCCTGGCTCGCTGAGCCCAGTGAGGCCTTCGGTGTCCCCACACAGCCACCGCAGGTGACGCACACGGAGCGATGGGCTGATGCCAGCTGCCATCCCCGGTGAGTCCCAGTGCCGAGCAGGCCATGGCAGCGCTCCTCGGCCATGGGCAAGTGAAGAAGGGAAGATCCAGGTCATCCTGCTCCCCTCGTACTGCGTCAGTTGCCGCTAGCAGTTTGCTTTTCTGTTCAAGTGTAAGATAGGGCACCTTCTCCCACCTGCTTCTCACGTGCTGAAAGAGTTCAGGACATGAATTTAGGTCACTGACGGGGGAGGCAAAGGTCCTCGCAAAAGTGCTCACCCACACCAAAGCTCCCACCTCTTCTACTCTTCACAAGCTTCCTTAGGAGCAGTTTTAACTTGGACCCATGAATATGGAAAGATTTTACTTAGGGGAAGAATTGAATTCTTAAATAACTGCGGTTTTGGTCACCTTCAGCTTTCAAAGCCCCACCCTGACAGCTCTGATGGCCAGAGGAAGGTTGGCTTTAGGATGGATTTTGCTTGTGACAGCAACAGCAGAGCCCACTGGCTCATGTCTCCTTTGCAGGGCCCCCCCCCACTGGAGAGTGGTGTTCAGGTGGTTGGGGTCCCTCTGCTTTTGCTTCTGGAAGAAGAAAGTGCAAGACACAAATGTGTCTTGAACACTTTGTAAACATGGGTTCACCGGCACTGCAGCCAGCAGTGACAGCCAGTGACTCTGCCTCTCTGCAGAAATGAATGTGGGAAAGTTTCTTCTTCCTCCATAAATCAAATTAGGTGAAAAATTACTAAAGGGACATCTCCATCATTCCCAGGCACTTCCATAGCAACCAGTGCAGGACTGCTTTGCTGAGCACTTCCCATTCATGGCAGGGAGGAGGGACTGGGACATCAGTGATCCCTGTGGAGGCTGTTGGAGGCAGTGGCAGGAAACCCTTGCCATGCCTTTGCAATATAGGGGAGGACTGCTCAGAAACGTGAATGGTGGGGTTTTATTTTCACCACTGCAATTTAGAAATCATCCCGCTGCTCACAGAAGGGTTTGGACTTGACCTCCCCACTCACACACAGAAAAAGTAGGTCTCAGCACAGCGACGCAGGGTGCACCAGCCTCGAATATCCACGTTACCAGGCAAAAGGCTGATGGACACATTGGACCTGCCCATGCCTTGGCACCTCTGATCTGAAGAAAGGAGCCAGACAAAACATGGTGATGGTCCTTGTAACCAAACACCTTGCCCCAGCCTGCATTTTACACACACACACTTTCTGAGCAAATGTTATGCACCATCTCCCTCACCTCCAGCCCGAAAAGACATTGCATTTCCATTATCTGGAGACTCGGTCTGGCTGCATCGCTTTTACATCCTTTCCATCCTCCAAATAGTGATAGGTTTTAATGTCCTCTCACATTAAGGGCAGGCAGGAGGGAAGATGAAAGTTACCAGCAGCAAAGCTCTCTGGATCCTACTGGTCAGTAGTCTGTAGCTCCTGCTGCCTCCCTTCCAGCCAGCACTCCTCCCTGAAAACATGGTCTGTAACTGGAAGAAAATCTTGGCTAACTTGATAAATCCCATTCTTTCCCACTAGAGCATCTGCTCAGCTAGGTCTCGTCGTGCTGGGAGCCACGAGAAGTTAACATGTCCCAGCGTGGTCTCTGCCAGACGGCCTCGTGATGCCGTCCCCTTGGCGGGCACAGAGCCAGCACACGGACACAGCAGCTCCCAGCATCCAGCTCTACCTCTTGGCACACAAAAAGGCTTCCCACCACCACAGCAGTGCTGTGACCTCCAGAGGGCGGGAATAACACTTCTGTGGGTCACCCTTGTGGCTGAAGGAAGGCCACTCCATTGTCATCTTCGCCACAAGCAAATTGAGCGTGACCTGTCGCAGGCTAACGAGGCGCCAAGGCTGGGGAGGCAATTCCAGAGCAGCCAGATGGCCAAGAAGAGGGTTGGCCTCGGAGCCAACACACACCCTGGCTCTGGCACGGCTACAGGGAAATGGGTGAGTCTGGAAGGGCTGGAAACACGGGGGATGCAGCTGAGAATTAGAAGGTTTGGGAGCTGGTGGAAGAACAGGATGGGGTAGGGGCAGGGATCCCAGATTTTTTTTCCACTTGAGATTCCTCCTGTTATTATTCGCTGTCTTTGTTGCTCAGCTATGGGTCCAAATTCAATGTCAGAAATAAATGAGGACTTTGAAATACAAACCAGGAGTGGTTTCTGTTCTTTTGGCAGACAACACCAAAAGGGCTTTATCCAGTGCTGCATGGAAGCTTTACTGGTGCAGGGATTTTCCCTCCCCACCCTTCCTGCTCCTGCTTTTGCTCCTCCTGTGTCCCCTGCTCCTCCCTTGGCTCTGCATCCTAGGCACATGCATCCCAAATCCAGTTTTATAGTTTATCTCTTTATTGTGACACAATTTTTCAGTGTGTTTTGGCAGTTGCCCTTGTAGTAGGAAGCCTGCAGGGCAGAGCAGAGGGGTGCTGCTGTCCCTGCCCTGCTGCAGGCTGGCCTCGGTGCCCTTGGAGACGGTGACGGCAGGGACAGGCTCTCCCAACTCACTCCTCAGTAGTTTTCTAGGCACTGATGGTTTGTCTTGTGTGAAGCCCTCTCGGTGAAGAGGGAGCAGTGATGACTGAGTCGTAGGAATCCTTCCTCGCTGAGCAGGCTGCTCTACAGGGACTGGCTCCACAGCCAAGCCAAGTGGGGTGGCTTCAAGTGGAAAGTCTGGCTCGAGGGGGCTGCTGCCCCTGAACTTGGAAGGAAAGTAGGGCCTGGCAGCACTCAGGGTGACTTGAGGCGACAGGACCAGCAGCAGGCCTTCCTGTAGTACCAGTGTGAGCACAGCTTCACCTTCAGCACCAGCACGCAGTTGGCTGTTGCTTTGTCTTCACAGGCATCTTCTGGGGAGCAGAAGCACACACAGAAGGGGTTACAAAGGAGATGTGCTTCCCCAGCATGGACATCTCGGACAAAGCCAAGGGCTCCTCCACCTCCCTGCCCTCCCAGATGTACCTGGTGCCTCTGTGGGGCATGGCTGGAGTTGGCACGTCTGCCTGGCCTCTGGTTTGGCAGAGGGGTCACAGCCCTGAGCCAGCGCTTCCCCCTGGTAGCACTTCACCTCCCGCAGTCGCACGCCAGCACCACACGTCTTGCTGCACTGTCAGGGTCAAGAAACAGCAAAGAGTATGAGAGGCATTTTCTGTTTTTCTATAGCTCCCAAGTTCTTTGCTCTACTGAGGTCTCCCAGTCCCTGCTTTGTATCCCTGCTCTTGAGGAGATTTGGGTCAAATTGGCACACTGATCTCAAACTTACTCTCCCTTTTTTTTTGCTGGAGGAAAGCATCCCTGAATTGGGGTTTGGGCAGAACAAGGGAGAATTTGCTTTTCATCTCTTTGTTGCAGCTCAGAACTATTTTTGTCTGGAGCGTTGATGCTGTGACAGAAAATGGAGAAAATGGCTGCTATAAGCCAGACACAGCTCCCCAGTCTTCCCATACCCTAAAGGTTCACCAGTTATTATTAAGGGAAAGGCAAAGCATGTGGAGGAGACACGGCTGTATCCTGCAGGCCTGGAGAGTAGTGCACGCTCTTCTTGAGGCAATAATCCCCATGCTCCAAGTCTTTCTCCAGCCTGCATGTGCCAGTCTCTCATCCTGCTGCCTGTTCTGCAGGAGAGCAGAACTTGGGGTCCCATCCAGACTTGGCAGGTCCTTGGCAGAGTAGGCTTCCAGAGAGCCTCAGCACAGGTCCTGCTCCACCAACCAGGGCTACAAGGCCTCCCCTGCCCCTTTCCCAGCCCTACCTGGGACCAGGAGGTGGTGAACCACGTTGAACAGGGCCTCCTGAAACAGGCAGCTTGTTCCTCAGGTTTTGGAGAGGTCTCGCAGCGTTTCTCAGGGTACTCCCTGTACAGCCCATTCTCCAGGCCCACGCACAGCACCAGCCGGGTCTTCATCCCACGCCCACAGCTGGCGTCACACTGTGAGGGAACAGAGCAGCCTGGTGACAAATGATGCTCGAGCTTCAGGCAGGAGGGCATCCTGCTCAGAAGGAAGGCTTAATGCCTGTGCTAACACCAGTCCAGGCCACAGGAGCAGGGGTGTCTCCAAATTTCCCAGGGAGCAGGGAGAGATGCTGGTAATTAATGTTTAGCTGAGTTCACCTTGGCTGGCCTCGAGAGCAGCTACCACAGGACGCCTGGAGCAGCCAAGCTAAGACTGCAAAAGGCTGTTTCTGTCTTATTTTATGTGTATCTATGTTCTGAAAATCCACATAGCATATGCACGTAGCAACCTACATCCTGGAGTACTGCCAAGCTTTGTGTGGGCCCAAGGGGAACGAACTGGTGCAGTGCAGGTGATGTGGACAGACAAGCACTGCTGAACCCAGAGCTATGCAGGCTTAGCTGGGAGGGCTCTCTCCCTCAGGACACCACCAGGAAAAGCAGCAGAAGGCAGGATCTGCTCCCTGATGCCCATCCAGGCAGTTGCCAGTTTGAGATTTCACTGCTTTGAGTCCTTTTTCACCACAGCAGGGCCAGCACAACTGGCTTGCATCCTCCCTTAGTCATCCTGAGAATTCAGAGCTCGTCAGCAGAGAAAACACAGCAAAGAAGCTGGCACAGGCAACGGTGAGGAGCTCAGCTGGTCTTTCAGAGCTCTGATGAGTTTCATAGCCAGGTCACTGCTGAAAGTGGCACTTCAGGACTGTGTGTGAACCACACAGAGGGCCAGAGCAGGGGAGAGTTACAGAACTGCCAGGTTTAACCAGTCTGTGCTTGTTACTGGTGCTAGAGGAGGCTCAGCTGAATGCAGTCAGCAGCTATAAAAGGACCTAAGTGAGAAGAGAGGCTTAGCCATGATTGGAGGGAAAAGGGCTTGGCTGCTTCCCCTATCTCCTAGAAACCTTCTTCCTTAGTGTTATATGAATCCCTGTTTTGTTTAAGACTTCAAAGAAAAAGCCCAAGCCTCACAACTGACTCAGTGTGTTTCTTTGGATACTCTGGGATTTGGATCAGCATGTATGGGAAAGCCTGAAGTCTTCAGGCCTTGGGAAATGGAGTAAAAAGATGTGCAGAGACTGAGTGTTGGGTGGAACAGAGCACCTGGACCACGTCCACTGGACTGTCATCCCTGAAGCAAGTACACAGTTATGGTCTGGATGTGACTTTCAGCACAGGGATTTGGGCTGTGGTTCAGGTTTACCTCCAGCTGTTAGTTATCAGAGGCAAAGCTGGTTTTGTTCAGACTTTCTCTTTACTGGTGGGGAACTCGTGTCCTCTGTAAGGGTGAATGAGCAAGGCTCTGCTGAGGAGCCAGGTGGGAGAGCAGTTTCCTTAAGGCATTGCTGCCCTCCCGTGGAGCTCTTGGGAAGGCAGCAAATGCCACAAACTTTGGGATTTTTATGGGGTACGGCAGGAACAAGCTGGCATATTCACTACTCCTTCCCTCTTTCTCAAAGGAGCTGGGATAAGGATACATATCCACATCTGGAGGTCACACTCTACAACTGTGCTCTGCCACGGGAACACATCCCAACACATCCTGTGGGATATGGGGTGGAAAGGCAGACGTGGGGCTGGGCTTGGCTTTACCTGCTCCCACTCCTGCTCCACCCAGTGTGCAGGGCAGTTCTTGTCTCCACACGGGTGGACAGCCAGGGGCTTGGTGGCCGGGTCACACTGTGAGCTGGAGATCACCTTGCCCTCCAGGTTGCGACACGCGATGAAGCGGCTCATGCGCCCCTCGCCACACGAACCTGAGCACTTGGAGAGCAAAAGGCATTTAGATACATCAGAAAGCGGGGAATTGGAGAGGTCAGGGTTGGTGGTGCCAGTAGAGTTGAGTCCAGAGGCCAGCCCTGACACTGGGCCTGTTGCACTGGATCCCAAGGGGCCTTAGAGGTTCATTTGGTCGGGGGCTTCCAATCTCCAGGTGCTGTGAGCTTCCCAGATTATTGAATAGAGCTCAGCTCCCAGTTAACCAAAACTTACAGCGAGGAGAGGCAAAAACAGAGATTATTTTAACTTCTGTAGCTTGGCCTCTGCCAGAAGAGAGCCGACAGAGATCTGCAGCACATCTGCCCAGCTGCTCCCACCCTCCAGCCCAGTGCTGGGTGCGGATGCCCGGACTCACGGGGCCCCACTCGGAGGCTGTCCAGCGGCGGTCGCAGGGTGGGCCCGTGCACGCCTTCTCGCTGCTGGGCTTGAGGGACTCGTCGCACAGGGGAGCTTCCACGGAGCAGCGCACCTCCCGCTTCATGGTCCCCGGCGTGCCACACCGCGCCGAGCACTGCAAGGGCCACACCGAGTCAGCGTGGGGCTCAGGAGCACAGAGCGAGGGTGGGGAAGCAGCTGTGCCCCCTCCCGTTCTCCTCCTGCTGCTCTAGGAGAGAGGGGAAGGGCCCCAGCAGGGACAATAAAAGCTGTGTCTGTCTCTGCTGTTCATTTATTTTGGGACCTAGAGCTCCAACTCATCAATGTGCTGATGCCTAAACTGCTGTTCAAAGTCACTGGGCCACAACTTGAGCAGGCTATGGGAAGTCAGCCAAGGGGCTGCAATGGGCTTTTAGTTTTTCTGTATGTCCATGGTACTGTTTCCCAATTGGCCCTCAGTTTGGGTCCTCTAGAAGAGAAAGTTTCTTGCTGGCAGGACTTTCACTTGGTCACTCTCCTGCTTTAGAAGTGACCTTGGAAAAAATGTTTTGCGATGGGCTTTGTCTGCTGAGCATTGCCAGAACAGGGCAGATAAATGCACTCCTTGTTTCCCCAGGGTGCAGTTGGCCAGAGGCTTCCTCAGCACCCAGCATCTGCCAGCTACCTTCCTCCAGGCCCCACCCCAGCCCTGGGAGCAAAACCTACCTCGGACCAGGTCCCACCCCAGCCCTGGGAGAAAAACCTACCTCAGACCAGGTCCTACCCCAGCCCTGGGAGAAAAACCTACCTCAGACCACTCGGAGAGCTCCCACTGCGGCCCACAGGCCTTGTTCTTGCAGGCTTTCCTCTCCATGGGCCTGGCCAGCCCCACTGCCTCGCAGAGGTCATCGTAGACAGAGCTGTCGAAGCCCGGCGCCAGCATCTTCCAGCAGCGCACGGTGCGGTACTGGAAGCCCTCGCCGCAGGTGCGGGAGCACTCGCTCCACCGGCTGGTCTCCCACCTCCAGGAGCAGAGAAAGCACAAAGGAGCACCCAGGTAAGGGGGACCAGGGGCATGGGGTGGCAGGGCTGTGCCTGCACACCTGAGGCTCCCTCACCCAGCAGCTGCTGCTTTGGCTCTGCTCATCACATCTGAGTAAACGCGGTGCTGGCCTTGAAACCAGCTTTGCTCTTAGCAGGCAATTTAGGTGCCAAATTCTTCCCCTCTTTTTGCTTACAAGGGGATACGAGGTCGTCTTAGTTTAAGCATACCTTTCAGCCCAAAAATGGCTGTATGCCTTGAGCAGAAAATGGTCCTTAGGAAGACATCTCCCTGTGGCCAGCTGATGTCACTTCCACTCACCTAGGCTGGCAGTCTCTCCCTGTGCAAAACTCGTGAGTAGGTTCTGGTCGTGTCAGGGCATCACAGTAGGATTCATCCACTTCCACTCCATCATAGCGCACACACATGGCATAGGAGGTGCTGATACCTGCTGGGCCAGCAACACCCTCAGCCATGCTCCATCAGATCCAAGAGCCTCCTCCCACCAGCATTAAATAACTGGAGAGCTCACTGCATCTGAATCGCTCCCTGCTGTATAAAAAAATACCAGGATTCTCTCCCTCAACTGCCCAAAAGGACTTTGTGTGATCAGTCACCTGAAGCCAAACCTACCTGAAGTGCAGGTGGAGCTGCAGGGAGCATAAGCTGAGACTTTCCACCGATACATGTCAGCCAAGCTGATGTCGTCATGGCCCACAGGGCTCACATCGAACTCATTGCTGTGGAAAAAGGAGGTGGTGTGAGCTAAAAATGAAAAAAAAATGCTGCAAACATGAAATAAAGGGAAATTCCTCCTTGCTGTCTTTGAAGATGGAAAGAAAGCCAGTGTTTCTGCTTTCCATTTCCCCCCACTTTGGGCAAGGCAGACCACTGATGAACAGAGAGTGCAAAGCCTTGATCCACTTCCCAAATTCAACTAGCAAGGAGGAAGCATCGTTCATAGGGAGTCTTGTGTATATCATGGTTTGCCAGCCTTGTGGGTGCCCTCAGCCTCAGCTTGAACCTCACCTTGAGGCATGATTTGGGTTGGAAAGGGAAGCTCAAGCAAGGTCCCTCTCATATCATATAATGTAGTGGGGCAAGTTTGTATGTGGCTTGACAGAAATATTTAAAAGCTGGTCCTCAGTTTCCTGCCAAATGTTTTCAGAAGCTTATGTGGCCAGAGGAATGGGACAGGAGGGGTGTGACATGGTGGTATATGTGACATGCTATGAATTCCTGGCCTTCTTTACAACCACACCAGGTCCTTCAGCACCCATTTAAATGGACCCTGAAATACGTTCCAGGAGCTCCATGTCAGGCCAGTTGTAACAATCAGTCTTTGGAGGAAGCACCTACAGCAGCTTTCACGGGCAGACACTGGTGAATGGGGACATCAAGGACAGCAGGGAGACTCCCAGAGGACTGGCTTGGCCGTCCCTCCCCAGCCAACCATGCTCTGTTTTGCCCAGGAAATCAGGTGCCACCTTTCAGTGCCAGGGCCTCGCAGAGGCTCTGCCTGGCTGACGTCTGTCGGGCTGGCCCCGAGCACAGGGCTCTCCACAGATGCCATCATGCTGTAGTTGGCTGCTTCCCCCTGACTCCCAGCAAACGCCTCCACCTTCAAGTCCTCCAGGGAGTTCTTGCGAGCCAGAGCTTTGTGGAGGTCCTGTGGCCAGCGGGGCCAGAGCCTGGCCGTGGAGTTCCTGGGTGCCAGGGGCTGCAGCTCCCTGCAGAAGGCGGCGTTGTGAGGGTCTCGGTGACAGAGGCGCCTGAAGAGCCGGAGCCTGGAGGATGTCACACGGCTGTTCTCCAGCTCGGGTCTCCTCATGCTGTAGGGCACAGCCGTGCTGATGGAGATTTGATTGAACCTGAGAGCTGGAATTAAAATACATGCTCTAACTATATGGGATGGCTTGTACTTCAGCGTGTGGCATTTAACAAGGCAAAAAGCATTCAGTTTTCAGCTTAAAAATTAAAAATTTCTAGCAGGGAGCATCAGCAGGCTTTAATTCCCCTGGCCAACCCCTCACTCTGCCCACTGCTCTGGGGCCTCATTTAAGATCTAGTCTGGGCCTTCAGTCCTGGGATGTGCAATGTTGCACATATTCTTTGTTCCTGAATTGTTTTATCAGTGATATATGATCTCTCCAAGATCCACCTCAGATTTGGCTTGTCCCCTTGCTGTCCCCTGATGATCACTGGACTGTTGCTAGGCCCTGTTGCTGCCACTGCCTGTGCCTGCCAAGCTCAGGCACCAAGTGAGTGCCCTGCCCAACCTGTATTACAGAATCACAGAACCGCAGCATGAACTAGGTTGGAAAAGACCTTTGAGATCATCAAGTCCAACCTATGGCCTACCACCTCCTCACTGTGGCCACCCTCTCGCAGCCTCCCCTTTCCTCACAGAGCTACTGGCCCTTGCTGCTCCCTGACAGTCTCCACCCCACTATTTACCATCCTTCCCTCCTGTCTACTCTGATGCTAAAGCCACCTTAGATTTCAAGAAGACCACTGCAGAATGTCTGCTTTCAGTCAATAAAATGGGGAAAGGAAGAACAAAGCAACCAACCCAACTCTGTTTCTCCACCAACTGCTGCTGCTTCCTCCTCCTCTTCCTCTCCTGCTGTGTTTGCATGGTAGACCTGTCTGATCTGAAAGTTGTACTTCTCCTTCTCTTCACTTTGTTCCCAGCCCCAATCCCGGGTCTGACTGGTAGAGTTGGTCTGGAAGAAGTGCGGGGGACCAAAGTCTAAATCTTCTTGCCCTTCCCTTAGAGGAAGCTGTACGCTGGTGTCATCTGGTGACAGGGAGAGCCACGTGGCATTGAAGTCCTGGGCAGCTCTGGAGTTGGCTGGAATGGGATGGCTCTGGCTGGTCTCTGGTAGGGGGTGATAGAGAGGCCTGGCAAGAGCAGGGGCTGCAGTTCGGAGAGGCGGTGTCCGTGGGACAGTGTAGTCGTAAGTTATGTGAGGCATTTTCCCATTAAAGTTATAGTACTGGAGGAAACAGGGAAAGAAAACAAAACTGCTTTTATTTTAAGGGCATGAATTTCCCAAAAGCCTTTTTCTAGCCACATCTGGTGGGTGATGGCTGTTAAGAGAAGACAACATCCTAATAAATCCAAAAGGAAAGACCCCCCCATACCTGTCTGCCTTCCTCAGCCCACCTACACAGGCAGGTTTGGCTTGGGAACCAGGTTATATTCCTGTTATCTGGGGGAGGCAGGCAAGACAGGAAAGCCTAAAAGCGGCTCCTCACATACCATGGCATTCAGAGACTGGTTAGTGGGCCCGTGAGCTATGATATACTCCAGCCCATCCGAGGTCAGGCTGGAGGGCCGCCGGTACTTGAAGATGGTGCCAGCCACCCTGAAGTTCTGAGGGTTGTCAATGGCCGAGTTGCCGTTGAAGAAGAAATGCCCGGATTCATCCGCAAGTGCTTCAAAGAGAGAGAAAACAGACAAATGGGACATTCTGCAGAACTCTGGCACCGAGGAAAGAGCCCACAAATGAGAAAAGCCCAGCAGAAACAGAACCCCAGGCTCTGCCCGTAGCGAACTTGGGCTCCAAATGTCTCTCCTGGCACTGGAGATGTGGTAGCTTTGTTTTTGGGAGAGATGAAGCACCCATGTAGCTACCCTGGAGGAAATGCTCTCTCACAGCATAGGTGGGAGTGCACAGAGCCTCCTCCCACTTCCCAGGCAGCTGAACTGGGGTCTCCACACCCAGCCAGCTCCTCTGCTCACCCAGGATGTTTTCTGTTTTCCTGCGCTCAATGATGAGGATGTCTGTGGCACCAGCAGGGATGTTGGTGATGAACACATAACCTGAGGAACAGAACAGAGCGTGAGGAGACCTCGAGGACAGAATAAAAAGTTCTGGGTGGGAAAAGTAGCTCATGGGACAAGTGTGTTTGTAGGGAGGCAGCACTGCCCTTCAAGAGCAGGGCACCAAGGACCTAAATAAATGCGTGTTGTACCAGTCTGTGAGCTCTCATCCCAGATTTCCTCTGGAATCCCATTAACAGATCACCAGTACGGATGTCAGTCTGAGCACTGCTGGGTGTGGAGTCGGGAAGGAACTGCACAGTGAAACAGTCTGGCTTTGGGGGTGTGGATGAATGTGCTTTCACACTCTTCCTGGCAAAAGCACAGAAAAAAGGCTTCGTAGTAATCAGGGCTGATGCTGAACAGAGGGTGGAAAAAGACCATAGGTCCCCTCAGCTCCTGACTCCATGGAATTTGTCTCGGGAATAACATAAAAATTGACCTTTAAAGGGAGAGGAAATAAGAGGCTCTTAAAGTTGTGTGGTTTGGCAGTTTGTCTTTCCTGCTGGAAACGCAGGTCTTGTCTGTTCTGTAAGATACTGAGGGCTGGAATGCGAGGCCAAAACTGTACCCATATGGCTACAGGGGGTAACACCATTACTCCTGCCCTGGAAAGGTGCTCCTCTAGGCTGCTGTTTGCAGGGAGTGAGGCAAACTAGTGAAACAACACCAGTGTGAGATGTTGTTCCAAAACATCCTCAAACCACAGTTCATTAATTACTAATGAGCATACCACAGTCCATTCCTCCTGTGGCTGGAGGATTGGGCCATCAGGCTGCAGGGATGAAGCTCAGCCTGATTTCAGAGGGGACTGTCCCTCGGCTGGTGCCAGCCACAGGACTGGTGAAAGCAGGAGATTAAGTGCAGGCTGAAACAAATGCTGTGACCCTCATCACAGCTTAAATTTCAAATGACCACATAGCACAAATGAAAGAAGATTCATTGATCTCTGCACATTATCTGAGGTGGGCGAGATGCCAAAATCAATAGGAACAAATAGATCCCCAGCTGCTTCCTATTCTAAACAGGTGAAGGGAAACCTTACCAGCCTAATATAGAGCACATCAAACCAATCTCCTCTGATGATTAAGTGAGAAGGACAAAATACAGGCATTTAAGGAGGGGTAGTGGCACTCCTCAACTCTTTCCACCAAGCAGCTGGGAAAGCTCCTACCCACGTTCAAGCCAGTCCCCCTCCATGCCAGCTGGTGGTAAGAAGTAGCGGGTGAAGTCTCCAGACTGGTAGCAGGGAGTACCTATCTGTGAGATTGCCTTTCGGAAGGTGCCCGAGACACGGTGGCAAGTGCTGCCGTCCCCTCCACACACCCTGCATCTGTCCATCGTCCGGGGCGAGTACAGGCTCCCATCGCACCCAACTGGCTGCAAAGGACAAAACAAGAGAGGGTTTCCTGGGGCCAGCTTATCTCCACGGGGGCAGGGTCTTTCCCAGGAAATGCTACTGTGCTCTTCTGGGCAGGTTCTGGGGGGTTGCAACGAAGGAATCCGATGCGAGGCCTCTGTTTCAATTCCCTGCTGGGACCCCTTGGCTTTGGGATGACCAGGAGGTTCAGCCATGCAATTAAAATCCCAATTTCTCTACTGCTTCCTGCCAGAGCCTCACCTCACACTTCCCATTGATGCAGACGCCTTGATAGGTCCTGTCCTTGCAGGAGGTGCCATCCTGTGCTCGGGCCATCAGCTGCCTCTCTCCACTCCGGGTGGTGCACTGGAGGTCACACGGCTTGTTGGAGATACTGGTGTAGTCATCTGCAGGGGCAGAGGGTCACCAGGCAGGTCAAGGTGCCCAGAGATGGGCAGCAAGGAAGGGGACCTTCCCCTTGTCCCTGCTGATGGTTTGATGTCACCTTGGTGATGACACCCCAAGGCTACGGATTTCACAGTGGCGAAGGGGTCACGGTGTGAGGCTGCGCTGGGGACTGTGCCAAGCAGAAATCCTTCTTGCTGATAAAACCTCTTCCTAGCCACATCCTTGTAGTGCCATCACTGTGCCCAGCATGGGGATGTGCATCAGCAGATCCCAGGCTACATATAAATGCACAGGAGCAAAAAAAAAGGGGCTGTGAGAGGGGCAGTGGCTGTGTGGGCTGGTGGCCAGCTATGCTCCGTTTACCTGAGCAGCTGGAGGTGCAGATATTCCATGTCCCCTTGGCAGCTAATGGAAAAACAGGTGAGTCCAGAAACAGGGTAATATCTTAGGTGAACTCAATCTGAGCTTTAAGGGACAACTGGACACCCACGTGAAGTTTCTGTGTAGGAAATGGATGAGCATCCTGTTCAGAACAACCCAGAGCAGCCAAGAGCATCCATCCCTTGTCCCCTAGGACTTCTGTGCCCGAGAAGATCCTGTGGGTGTTTTCTGACCCTCACCCCTAGTGTGAAGTTGTGAAAACCCACCTGGATAGAGGGGCATCCAGTGGTAATAGCGCTTCCCAAAGGCTTTGGCATTGAAACTGGAGCACTGCTGCTGTTTGAAGCTGGCTGTGTTGGCTGGGCAGGGCTATGGGGGGAATAAAGGCAATCAAGAAGCTCCCTATCTCACAGCCATTCTTGTGACAGCTGCTTGACCCTCTGCATCCTCACAGGATGAAAATGCCCTGTCCACCATGGAAGGAATTGGTGATGGACTTGGAGGTCCCTTAAGAGAGGCAGAAAGGCCAGGCCTTCATTGCCAAGGGCCTCCCAAACAGCTGCGTTTAACAGCCCTGCAAAAATTCCTTCCAGCAATGGGAAAAGCAGCAACGGGAAATGCATCCTGGAAAAACTTCATGCTTCCCCTCACCCCACAACAAATATGCTTTTACACCCTTTTGTCCCATCTCCCAGTCCCAAAGAATAGACCCCATCTCCCACATCCTCAAAGGCACACCATCCACCACCCCAGGAGAGGATCATATCCCTTGTCTCCATCCTCTGAGGGACCAATCCCACCCCAACTGGGTGGATGATTTTGCAGCTCCAGGTAGGACTCCCCCAGTCCCACATCCCCCAGAAAGGACCAGTCAGAATTGGAAGTGGTTCTCACCTGCTGCTGGCACAGTTGGTAGCGCTTGGCTTGACCAACACACATGGTGCTGTTCGTTCCCTGGGGCATCTGGAGCCTGAAAATCAGAAGTTTCCAGACATGAGTTGGAGGTCTGTGAAGTGTCCAGGCACTGAGGATGACAGAGGAGTCAGGCCTGACTTAAATGGGAGAAACAAGGCAGGTGTTTTATCAGAGCAGAGCTTTCTGGAGCTAGACTGGCCAACATCTCCTCTGAAACACATCATCAGTGCTTTTAAGTGGGTTGTGATTTTAAGTTGTTCTTGTTTTGGGGTTGGTTGAGCAGACAGTGAGTAATTGCAGTATTGACACCCATGTGTTCACTTCTGAGCTCCAAAAGGGTTGATGTGGCAAAAAAACAACAGAACCTGATGGTCCATCAGTCCTATGGATGTGCCCAGGGATTGGGGGAGTTGATTTCAGAATCCACTGTGCAGTAGGCAGAGAGATGGTGCCTGTCAGGGGGACTGGCCACCCCAACAGATTATCAGGGAAGGCTTGGTACGGGTGATGAACCAAAACCATAGGAATTTCTCAGCATGAGCAATCCAGGACATACTGGACTGATGCAAAGACAGAAGAAATTCTTGAAAGCTGTGAAGTTATACGGAGAATGGCTGAGACCACAGGTTAAGGCAATGCAGTAATCTGCAAAGTCATTTAGACAACGAGTAAAGATCTGCAGCAGACAATGTGTTAACAGCTCTGGGAACTGAGGATACAAGGAACACCATAAGCATATTCAGGCTGGCCTGGCTGGAGGCACTGCAGCTGTCCCTCCAGAGCAATGCTTTACATGACACAGGCAGAGCCTAAATTTGCAGTAAGACTTCAAAAATGTCATGCCTTTCAGAAGCAGAGGCTTCCTGCAGACTCAGGCAGAAATTGTTTTGTGACCATACCTGGCTCACTTAAGCCATTCACCTTAAAGCTGCAGAAACCTTTGGGCTGGGATTTCTTTTTTTTTTTTAATTCAGATTTGATCCCTGGATTAAAACACCACAGCAAACCCTTCCCTCCCTGGCTGTGGAGTCAAGGATAGAGCTGGCATCAAATGGAGAGAAAGATCTCTCTTCTGGAAGCAGGCAAAGGGCTGCTCTGGCTGTAGGGGTGCAGGACAGCCCCAGGCTCCCTCCCTGTGCTGCTCCCCACTGCTTTTCCAGGATGCTGGAGTGGAGGAGCAGCAGCAGAGACATCCAGGGAGGTCACAGCCAGAGGGAAGGTCCTGCAGCACATCTGGACCTTCACCATGCTGTCAGCCAGCTCAGAAAAAATAACTTTTCTGCTGCAGGAAGGAGGGCAGGTCAGGGGCCCTGGTCTGAGCTTGTTCTGCTCAGGAGTGCATTCACGCAGAAGGGAAAGCTCGCTGTGCTGAGGACGCCCGCTCTCATTAACACCCCAGGAGCCTGGAGTAGCAGGCTCCAGAGCTGCTGGAGGAGGGGGAATCAGTGGCAAGGTAGCCCAGAGAGGACAGCAGAAGTTCAGACAGCTGCAATTCCCCTGCACTCCCCACTCCCACAAACCCAATCTAACCAATCCCAGGACTGTAGCAGCTGTAGGGCACAAATGCAGATGCTGTCAGGTGGCAGCCAGATAAATGACAGAGGGGAAAAAAACTTGCCAGCTCTGCAGGGAATAAAGAGGTGAAATTGCTGAGATGTGGCTGAGCTGGCTGCTGCCAGGAGTAAATCAAGTCCCCACAAAGTGTCTGGCAATATGTGCCCACATCCTGAGCACAGGAACTGGCCACAAATCAGGGCTGGGATGGTCAGAGCAGCCACGGCAATGAGGGTTTGTGAAGGAAAGAAGAGGAACAGAGCCAGCCTTCTCCAGCCCATAACCCCATCATCTTCAGGACTCCAAGAGAGGACCAACCCCTTGTTCCCCATCAGATAAGTCAGGCTGAGTGATGTTCAGGGCACCTGTCACCTGCCCCACAGCAGCGTGCTCCTGTCACCCTCCCCTACCACTGCCCACAGACAACAGCTGCCTTCCTTTCCCAGAGGCCACAGATGAGGGAATGGCTGACCCTGCAAACCCAGGAGGTTCAGCCCCAAAACACAAGTCTGGGGCACCCCATTTCCCTTGTGCCACTTGAAACCTGGCCACGGGCTCAGGCTGGGCCACAACTCACCTCTGTCGCAAGCAGTGCCTCTCCCGGGACATCACACCCCCTCCGCAGGAGCGGGAGCAGGTGGACCAGGAGCTCCACTCTCCCCACCACTTGGTGACTTCTTCATCCCAGACACCAGCTCCATCTGCTGCCTCACTACTGTCCTGACAGAAACAGAGCATTGTTAGCTGGAGAGCCTGGCTGCTCAGCACCACAGGCAGCTGTCCTGTCACCTGGATGCCTCCTAAACAGGCAGCAGTGGGACGAAGGTGCCAGGGTCTGAGTCCTGTGGGACCACATCAGGATCTCAAAACTTCCCTCCAGGACTGAGTTCTGCATGGGAAGCAGGATGCCTTGTGATCTCATGGGATAGAGGAGGGCTGTAGGGCTGGACATGTGTGGCAGTAACAGCAGCTGCAGCTTGGCCCCACAGCATCACTCCCAGCCCGGCTCAGGAGAGAAGAGGAAGAGCTGCAGTTCTTGGCCATGCAGGGAAGCTGGGAGTACACAGGTGTCAATCCTCAGAGCTGTATTTCCATGAATAACCTTCCCTTTGTGACTAAAGCAGCTCAAATCCAGGCTCCTCATCCCCCAACCCTCACAAAAAATAATTTTCAAGGGAACTTCAGAACCACAGCCTCTCCCCACAAACCCCACATGTTCAGAGGAGGAAAGCTCCCTCTCCCAGTACACCTTGCTGGGTCTCAGCCTTTAAATTTGGCAAACCTGAGCTCCTCTGGCCCCAGCGGGGTCCTTGCTGCTGTTGGCTGTGCCTCCACAATTCCCAGCAGGTAAGCAATTCCATGGTTTAGCTGGGCTTTTTTTCCTGGCAGTATTTTCCTGTTTAGCGTCTGATGGTCTAAAAGCTCCCAGGGACTTTGGCAAACTTGCCTGTGCAAGAACTAATCTGCTGTTTACTGAAACACAGCTGTGAGTAGTGTTGAATGCAGCCCTGAGTTTAACGCAGGACAGTGACTGGAAGGGATTTATCCAGCTAAAATGCCAAGTGCTTAAATATTAATGGACAAAAATCGTGACAGCTGCAGCCGCTCTGAAGCTGCACAGATAAATTTGGCCATAACAGGGCCCCAAACTCGACCAGCCTAGAAGTAAATGAGTCCCCAGGTGAGGCAATGATAGGTTGGATTTGAACCCAAGCAGGGGACCCCAGCCAGCCCCATGCAACCCTAAATGCAGATGTTTCATTGACCAGGGAGCTGGGTGGTGTTGAGACCTCAACCAGTCAGGTGTGTAAGCATGGGAATTTTGAACCCCCTATAAAAGAGGGGGGCAGCAATAGACCTGAGCTGTTTCTCACATGAGCCTGCTCGTGTGCCTGTCTCCAAACTGCGACCCCAACGTAACAAGTGGCGAATTCCTGACATGATGACGGCAGCATCCACGTGTAGAGCTGGGGGGACAGAGGGCAGGCATGGAGAACCTGTCTGCAGCAAAAAAAGCTGCCAAAAGCAGCGTGGAGAGCCGACCAGGGCGTGAAGAGCCAACCAAAGTGCAGACCCCTTTTGTAAATACCCTTAAAACAGAAGAACAGCGCCAAGAAAATGGGAGGATGGTTTACTCTGGAAGAAAACCCAGTTGTTAAGATATGGACCCTCTTTTTACTTCAGTGGGAGGTAAAGTGTGAGCAACAGGCTCTGTGTGGAAGCCCAAGGGGCTATAATTAAATCTCCATACCTCAGTCTTGGAAAGGAGGCAAGAGTACCTCCTGAGGTTGGGGTGAGAGAAGACCTTTCTCCCGCAGATCTTCACTGTTATATGTTAATGTATAGTTAAGTTTGTTTCCCCGTTGGTTTGCCAAGTTGATGCAATCCCTGTTCAGCTCCCGTTTACCCTATATGGATTTTTCCTAGAATGTTCTCCCTTCCCTCAATCCCCATTGGCCCCAGTTTGGTGCAATCCTCTGCCCCTGTTTTCCTATTGGTTGTTCCTGTCCCTAACTCCGCCTCTGCAGCATTTTGCCCTGCTCCCATTGGACCCTGACCCTCTGATCCACCCCCTCTTTCCCATATATAACCCTGGACCCTCCACACAGTTTTGTCTTTGTCCCTGACTCTCTTCAGTAACTAAACCCTTCCCGGAGCACCATACTGTAATAAATGGAATTGATTCGTGCTAACTAAATTGTGACTGTTATTAAAGTTATTATTAGAAATAATCAAAAGGATCAGTGTTACGAGGCAGATGTACCCCTTTACAGATGTTACATGTTAAAATTGAGGTAGAGGATGCAGTTTGGAAGATAAGTGATGTCCCAAGACGAAAACGGCCTTGAGATGGACAGAATTAGAACGACTTTAGGCATTGGGTCTAAAAACCAGTAAATACAATTTACTAAGACTAATTAGTAGATTTACATAACACAACGCTTAGTACACACACACAAACCTGTAAGGTTATCTAAAGGACAACGAGGAAGAGGAGAAGCCTTCGCCAAAAGACCACCAAAAGAAGACTGAAGACCCCCTAACAACAAGTGAGGCATGCGCCGTGAAGAAAAGTGACGTAAAGTCAGAAAAATGGGAAATAGGAGGAAACTTACAGGAAACATTAATGAATATGTATAAGCATACAATATATAAGTTTAGCTTGAAGTGCTTTGTTTTGTATGTGAGGCAGGGTAAGAAACCCTCTCTGTACCCCAGTCGGTTTTGCTTATGCTTTAATCATAATTAATTACAGGCAGATTATATATATAAATTGTAATTTTTTGCTAAATTATATTCTTTTACTAAACTCTATTCTTTTATACCAAATTACTATTCAATTTACTAAATTGTATTAATTTTTAATTCAACTGCCATTAACCCAAGGGACCTAGTTGTCAAAATTCTGATTTCATTTATAACGGTACAAAGACCCATCCCCATCTTAATCATCTGCCTAAAGGTTCAGTTGTGCGCCCCAGGCTGAAGAAGCACTGGTCACTCTCAGGCCACGTTGTTGCACGATGACACAGCTTCTCAGGGAAGCAAAACACGCTGGTTTTAGTGGCTGATGGTACTGTTGTAAATAAACCCCTGCAAAGCAGAGCTGGTGGATGTGAGAGAAAACTCAGCAGGGTTTGCTCATCACTAAATGTGCTCTGCTCACTGCTTGGGCTGTCTCTTGGATTTGTGCTCTTCCACGGTGTAATCCCGAGAGGACACAGTCTTAACGAGCACCAAGGGAAATATAGGTTGGATATTAGGAAAAAGGTTTTTTACAGAAAGGGTGATATAGAATGGTATGCCCAAGGAGGTGGTGGAGTCACCATCCCTGGATGTGTTTAAAAAGACTGGACGTGGCACTTGGTGCCATGGTCTAGTTGAGGTGTTGGGGATGGGTTGGACTCAATGATCTCTTCCAACCTATTATTCTTTAATAAAGCCAAAGAGCTCTTCATTTTGTTGTGTAATTCCTGCCTGACAACTTGTGTTTCCTCAGTGCCTGCCAACAGAACAGCCTCTGGGCAGAGGAGATGCAGCTGGTTTATGCAGATGTTTGTAAATTGTAACTTAAATGGTTGAAATGTGCATAGTGCCTCTTTTTGATGGCCCGAGCACAATGGAGGAAGCACTGTGTTACCTGACGCTTTGCCCTCCAGTGATTGCAACAGTTGATTTCAAAAACAAGACAACAAAACTCCTGGTTGTACTTTAGTATTCTGGCTGGAGCTGACTTGCCTGACAAGGACCAAATGCTGTGGCCAGCAGCTAAGCTGCTCATTAGGAAAATAAAATTAAGAGAAACAGACATGTTTTCAAAAAATACCTTTTTCTGTTCTTCCAAATGATCATCTCAACCAAATTCCTATGAGAATTTTTGTCTCACTGTACTTTATCAGGCTGTAAATGGAAATTCTGACTATGCAGCTTCCACATTTACAAAGGAAACGAACCAAAAGTCTCTCATTGTGAGGTATTTTCAGCTAAAATCTTTCCCTGACTGCTCCTATGCTTCTTTGTGATACATAGCTCAAGACTGGGGTGGAAGAGCTCTTCACAGCTGTCAGGAAGGAGAATTCCAGCAATCTATCTGGTGTCTGAGTGGAGAGCTCAGCACAAAACTGATTCTCCCATATCTGGGGAAAAAAAACAAAGCTGGTGTCTTACCCCTTCCATGAGGCAAATGGACTGCCTGGATAGAAGGCATGTGGACCAAAAGCTGCAATATTTGCACAGTTTTTCCCTAAATGGCAATAAAAACTTGTGTAGCTGTAACCTACAAGGTAGCCCTGCCCTGAGGATCTTGTGATCCAAGCAGGTGAGAAGGGTCAAAAGGAAAACAGGAGAAGTGGAATAGTTAATTCTGCTAATAATTAAAACTTCTCTGTTGATCTACCCCCGGATACGAAGCAGGCTTTGTGTGTTTGGGATGGTGAGGAGTTGCAGGCTCCTTTTCAGGGTTCCTGCTCTTGGGGTGTTCTGCCTGGGTGCAAGGAGATCAGGCATATGGGAGCACAGCTGAGGTTTGGTGGAGATCAGCATCCCTGCCTCTGTGAGCTGCTTTCTTACAAATAGAACAGGGTCCATCTCTGCACTGCACCTCACTGGTAGGAGCCCAAATGAAGATTTATTGGAAGATGCTAGTCAGGGAGACTTGTTCTTTTACTAGAATGTGTTCTCCCATATCCATAATCCCTGTTCCTGCTTCCTCTCTGTGCTGGAGGAATCAATCACTTTTTAAGTAGATTGATTTGGTTCTCAGGTTTTCCATGACCAAGCTCCCTTGCCAGAGCTTCCCTAGGAGCATTTATTTTCTTGTGTAAGCAAGGACAATGCTGAGCTGTCCCCTTGGCCATGTCCCTTACAGCATGACTGCATCTGAGTCCTAGACCTGAATTAGGAGTGGGAACTTCAGGTATTTAGAGCTGGGGCAGCTGGTTCCAATCTGTGCTGAATTTATTGTCTTGTCAGAAATAAATCTGCATTGACCACGACACACAAATGGTTCTTGTTTTTAATTGAAGATACATGCATTTTCCAAAAGTCCAGATAATAAATTAAGGACTGTGAGACAGACTCCAGATTAGATTAACTCCCAGCTTCAGTTTCCCAAGCCTCTCGACAAATCCCAAGAGTGAATTCTGGACAAATGAATCTCCCTCTCCACCTACTCACAGAGGGAGAAATGAAAAAAAAAATAAATAAATGAATTCTTTTGCACTATTCTGGTTGTGGGA